CATGTAGACAGGTTGGGCGAACTCCCATGCACCCTCCAGGACCCTGCTGAGGGTGTAGAGCTGGTCCAGTGTTCCACGACCAGGACGAAAACCAAACTGCTCCTCCTGAACCTCCTCCTCAGGAGGAGCAGTGTGGTTTATTTAGCTTTCATTAATCACTAATAAAGGGTTACTTAACCTTGAAAACAACATTAATTAAGGATGATTCAGACTTAATAAGCTATGAATTTATTAATGTTTTACCCATAAAGGCTAAATACGTCCAGAACCAACATACTCATTGTTTACTCATGAGAACTATATACTGTGTATATCTATGCAACTGCTCATGTAAACCTACTTTCACATCATGTCTTAGACATGTATTATTGATTAGAGAATGATTGAATTGAACATCTACTAACCCTGCAGTGCATTAAGGCAGGTGTTAGTAGTTCAGTCTTTTTCTGAACCTTTCTAAAGTGGATTATTTCTGTTGCCTGGATTATTGTACCAGTCCTGTTTGTAACTATTGAGTTTTCAACTGTAGACAACATATGGCGTTCATATTTATGTTTTCAGCAACAACAGAAAAACCTGGTCACACAATCGTGGGTGTGTCAGACACCGTCCCCCACAGTGCGTCCCCACCAACTTTCAGCACCAAGTTATTCCCTGATGTTGACCTTTAGAGAAAACCTTTTTCAGACCATCCTCTGAATTTATGTGAAGTCCACTGCTCTATCATAGAAAACGGTGTTCAAATCTTTTGAAGTTTGTAGTTAAAATATGACAAACTGAGGAAAAGTGTGTATTGTTGTTACAAATATAATATATAAAGTTTTCCTTAGATCACATATGTCAATGTTTGTGTTTCTACAGGGAAGGAGGAGCTGGAGGTTTCTCCTTACGACCATTCATTAATAGATACTGGAATGGCCTCACTGGTGGCAGGTGAGTATAACTTTTACTTTCATTTTACAGGCGCTAAGCCCACTTTTGGGATATTACTATAAGGAAATGAAGAAGTTAGAGTATTTGTCTTGGTGGGTTAATAAAGATGGARTCTTGGTCCACTTTGACCAACATTTGTGAAAATAGTTCCTGTAGGGAGTCCTGCAGTCAATAAGTCGAGTTTTTTGGGTCTCTTTTCAATTTATTTCATTCATAAAAACTAAGTCTATATACAAGAAAATAAATGAAAAGGGTGCAGAGTGAAGACAAAAAATTCACAATTTCTGCTCATTGTTTTCCAAAAAACAACATAAGCAAAACAAACAAACAAAAAAAAACCTCAAGCTTCAATAATCTCACTATTTACAAAACATAAAAAACATAAAATATCTTCATATCATATTTTCATGAAGTACTACAAATGGTTTATCTTCCCAGTAATTTTAACTTATCATCTTTATAAACATAGAAATTGTCTGAGGTTTTATAAAGGCAGCAGGACTGTTATTACATCCACATGATTAACAATTATTGCATCCCCATGATTAACAGTTATTATATCCACATGATTAACAATTATT